TGTGTGTGTGTGTGTGTGTGTGTGTGTGTGTGTGTGTGTGTGTGTGTGTGTTGTATTAGAGATGGAACCCATGGGCATGCGAGGCAAGCATTCATCCACTGAGCTTGTCCCCCAGTCCAATTTCCTATTAATTAGTAATGTTCTTGTTTTGCTTCCAAATCTGTTGGTCTTCTAAATTTTGGAAAATCTAAAATGAAATTTGGAAAGTCACTCAATGAAATGATCATTTTTCATGCTGTTTGAAAAGAACTGCTTGGCACTTAGATGATGAAGGAAAAAGGTGGTTAAAAAATTTTGGGGGGAAATTTCTGCTGTGCCCAAAGATCATTTGTTTTGGGGTTTCTTATAAAATTTCCCATTAAGATGCAGGTATTTATGGAAGATAAATAGTTTCTAGTTTTTTATCTTAGACATCTCCTCTTAAAGATTAGATTCCTTTTGATCTCTCTCTCTGGTTTGGAAATGGGGGTCCCAATTCAACTCAACAAATTCACCTCAGCCTTGCAAGTCACTGAGTCTACAGACATGTGCCTGGCTTTTCTGTCACTGCTTGAACCGCTAGCAGTGGCTTTTAACTCTGGTTGTGTGTTGGAGTTACATGGGGAGTGTTAGAAAATGCCAGCAGCCAGAATACCCTCAGGACCAACATTAGAAACAAAGGCTAGAACTCAAACATCACAATGTTCTTAAAAGGTCCCCAGTGGCTTAATATTTATAATGATAAGGCACTTATTTGAATGACTTGTGATCCAACATATAAATGTACAAGTAAGCCAGTCAAGAGAAACTCCTAGGGCTGGGGTGCCAGCTCCGTGGTGCAGCGCTTGCCTACTACCCACTGGGTTTGATCCCCAGCACTGCAAAGAAAAAAACCTGTATTCTTCTGAAAGAGACCAGTGTTTAATATTGCTAGTGATAAAAGCCCCTAGGTGAAAAGTACAGACTTCCAGCTATGTAATTTGTAAAAGCATCACAGTGAGTAATAAAAAGTCGAGATGAGTTTGGTACACTTTGACAGAACTTGTGACAATGTAAATTGGAAGACATTCTTATAGTAATAAATAACATCTTAAAAATTTACGATCTGAAATTTTGTAATTTTGCTCCAGAGAAATTTTCTTTGCAAAATGATTCAGAAAAGAAAGCTCAAGGCAATAATATTTATTGTATTATTGCCCACTTTGATTTACAAATTTGTCATTAGTAAATAACAGAAGAATTTTAACACCAGTAGGAAAACATAAGGGCTTCCTTTCTCTGTCTCTTTCCTCTAAGTCATCTATATAATTCATATTAATATAACAAAGTCAATCCAAACTTATTTTTCTCTTCAGGAACAATGTAACCCTAATGACAAGGTACTGTAGATATATTACAGGGAGAAACAGTGTTATTTGACATGCCACTTTTGAATTCAACTCCTGAATCCTTTTCCAAATGTGACTTTGATTCCAGTACCTTATATTATTGGCATGGGAGGGACAAACTATGAAATTTCAGTCGTGCCCACTGTTTAATCAATTCTGAATCTTATTATAAGTTAGGCAATTACTTCATTGAATCCCTACAGAAATAAAAGATAATTCTATAATGAAGTGTTTGATGCATCTGTGAACACATTTCCATGAAACTTTTTTCCTAGGTTATATAAATAAAATGATGAAACATTTGAAAAAATTTCTTGATAGTAGAGAGAAAATGTTTTTATTAAAAAGTCCAAGTATTCTTATCTGTGGCATCAAAATAAAATGACCTTTTGAGATTT